GAGTGAGTACTCACTCTAGTCCACACTGGATGTGCACATTTGTGATAGTCACACGGAGCATTCGTTATGGTCAGATTCTGTTGTGCCATCAACCACACATCTCCTTGTATGCCCCTCCCCAGTGTATGGTTTTGGAAACATATTTTCTCCCTACCTCTACCTACAAAAAAACCACATCTTCCTTGTGTTGTGTTCCACCACATCCCCCTACCTTGTCTCTATGCTGCTCAGAGCCTAGCATCGTTGGAGGCATGGTGGCAGGCAGGGCGTGGTCACCATTGCAGCTTCCAACACCAATTCCGCCTCTCCCTCTCCTAACCCGCCTATCGTTACTCTGCCTTCTGCCCCATCCCCCTCCCCCTTCTCCCTGCTGTGTTGTGCCAGAGCCTAGTGGCCCTGGAGGGGTGGCAGGACGTGGTCACCATAGTCTCCTCGGACATGCGGAGGTGGAAGGCACCGGAGCTGGCGGACATCCTAGTGAGCGAGCTGCTGGGATCTTTCGGTGACAACGAGCTGTCGCCCGAGTGCCTCGACGGGGCTCAACGCTTCCTCAAGCCGGACGGCATCTCCATTCCTGCATCGTACGTACTCGCATCTATAGCGCCGATGGCTTGTATGTATTCAGTCGATTGGCCACAAAACGAGAGGAACAACAAGCTGTCGCCTGAGTGCCTGGATGAAGCCCAGCCCAGCGGTTTCTGAAACCAGACGGCATCTCCATCCGTGCTTCGCACGTATCCCTCTAGCATCCTTACCCTGCTCATGTGCGTTTGGAGACTAGTTGTTGCCTGAGTGCGCGGATGGGGCTCAGCGCTTCTTGAAGCCAGACGGCATCCCCATCCCTGCGTCGTACACATCCCTATAGTGCCAGAGCATCGTATAAACTGTTTCTGTGCTTCGTACAAGCTGCTGCTTGTTCAAAGCAACCGTACAAAGCAACGGGTACATAACCAGGCGGCAGCATCTGCATTCCTGCCTCGTATCGTATGCTCTCTCGCCTCCATCCTCTACATTACAAGCCCTCCTCCCTCACCTGTCCCACCCTTCTTCGTTCCATGGGTGGTTTTGTTGCCTGTTGTTCCTTTCGTCTTCTTTTGAGGCGCCTCAAAAGCCCACCCTGTTGTTCCTTTCGTCTTCTTTTGAGGCGCCTCAAAAGCCCACCCTGTTGTTCCTTTTGTCTTCTTTTGAGGCGCCTCAAAAGCCCACCCTGTTGTTCCTTTCGTCTTCTTTTGAGGCGCCTCAAAAGCCCACGCTGTTGTTCCTTTTGTCTTCTCATCCTTCCTGCCGTACCTCTTCTTTTGAGTCGATTCAACAGCAGACTCATTACACGCGGTTTCTTCTGATCCTTCTTGCTCTACCTCTTCTTTCTCAATTGCCCCCATCTGCTCGGCTCTGCTCTGCTCTTATCTGCAGGTACATGAGCTACATGAGCTACATTGGCCCATCATGTCATCCAAGCTGGCGTTCTCTGCTTCCTCTAATCCGTCTTGCTTTATTCCCTCATCCGCTTTTCTCCGCTCTCTTCTGCTCTGCCCTGCAGGTACACGAGCTACATCGGCCCCATCACATCATCCAAGCTACACAATGACGTAAGTTTCTAGTTTTCTACCAAAGTGGACAGTGTGTGCGTGACTGGGCCTAATAGCCTGTCTTTTTGCGCCAGCCTGTCTTTTTGCGCCAGCCTGACTGTTGAGATAGGCCCTTTTCAAATAGGTAAGCTTTCCCCCGGCCACTCGAAACCCTCCGGGTGAAGGGCGACAACGAGCTGGCGCTGGCGTACTTTGAGATGGCAGGTGGTGAAGCTGCACCCCTCTTCCTCCCCCCTCCCCTTCTACCCTCATCCTCGCTTCTTTGCCCCCCCCTTTCACTCCTCCGCAGGTGAAGGGGTACAACGACCTGGCGCACTTTGAGACGGCCTATGTGGTGAAGCTGCACAGCGCTGCCCGGCTGACGGAGCCTAAAGAAGTGAGCGAAGGGCGATTGGGGCAGGGGCATGGGGCATGGGGCTTGGGGCATGGGGCACGGGTCAAGAGGCTGACATAACCCACTCTTTCCTGTCCCCAGGTCTTCGCGTTCACCCATCCCAACCCCCAAGAACCCATCAACAACACCAGATACACACACTCACTCTCTCCTCTCCTCTCCTCTTCTCGTCTTCTCCCCTCTCCCCTATGTCCTCTCTCCTCCCTTCTCCCGACCCCCCTCCCCAGGTTTTCACCTTCACCCATCCCAACCACCAAGAACCCATCGACAACACCAGATACAAGCGGTTGCTCTTTGACCTGCCGCCTGACACTGGATCTGCACTAGTGCACGGTGGGTGGGTTCAGCTCATTTTAGGGTGTGGTTGGGTGATTTTATGACACTGGGTCTGCTTTTGAGTCGACTCAAGAGTCACCTCGATTTGATGACACTGGGTCTGCTCTAGTGCATGCATGTTAGGTTCGCCTCTAGTGCATGGTGGGTTTGCCTCTATTTCACGGTAGGGTATGGCCGGGTATGGCTGGGTATTGCTGGGTATGGCTGGGTATGGCTGGGTATGGCTGGATATGTGGATACCTCTTGACACAAAATACAAGTGCCCGCATCTGGCCACTGAACCTCCACCCTTTCTCATGTCCCCCTTTTCCCATCTCCCCTCTTGGGCAACTTCCAGAGTTCGGAGCTTACTTGTACGCACAAGGGTGAAGTGAAGGTTACTTCTCCCCTCTATGGCGATGTGGATTTGGTGTGGGCATTCAAACCTCCACTCCACCCTTCTCGTCGCCCGCCTTATCTCCCCCTTTTCTCATCTCCCCTCTTCTCATCTCCCCATTTCCTCCCCCATCTCCCCTCTCCCCATACTGCCAGGATTCGGAGGTTATTTCGACGCTGTGCTCTACGGCGATGTGCATTTGGGGATCGAGCCATCCACCGCCACCCCTTCCATGTTCAGCTGGTGAGGCTTGCTTCTCCGCATCACATTCTCACTGGTCCTTTCCATTTCTCGCTGGTCCTCTCAGTTTCTCCTTCTTTCCTTCTGCGTCTGGGCATCCAAGCCTCCATCGCCACCCGTTGCATGTTCAGCTGGTGAGTGCACCCCTCTCCCTCTCTTTCTCTCTTGCGCTCTTGCAGTCCCCCATCCACGTGTGCAGGCTTTCAAACCCCTTCACTCTCTGCGTCTCAGCCTACTTCCCCACCTCCCAATTTCCCACCGGTCTTTCCCCCTCCAGGTTCCCCATACTCTTCCCTCTCTGCTTCCGTGTGTCCACTCCTCAAACCCCAAGCAGTTAACTCATCCTTCATCTCCCCTTCTCGCGTGCCCCCTTTCCCCCACCCCCACCCCCCTTCCTCGTCCACCCCCACCCCCCCCAGGTTCCCCATTTTCTTCCCTCTCCGATTCCCCGTATACGTGCCGGCGGGGGAGAAGCTAGAAGTCCACTTCTGGAGATGCGTCGGCCCCACTAAGGTGATACTAATGAGCTGGCCCAATAATTGGGATAGTGATGCGTTGGCCTTACTAGGGTGATACTAACGAGTTGGCCCAATAATGGGGATCCTAATGAGTTGTCTCCACTAAGGTGATACCAATGGGCTGGCACCACTAAGGTGATATTAATGATTGTTGGCACCACGAAGTGATACTAAAGAGTTGGCCCCCAGTGAGGTGATACTAATGCAATAACTCCTTTAGCAGGTGGTGCTGATGTGTTGGCCCCTCCATAAGGTATCAGTATGTGGTGAAGGGTGAAGCCACCCATAGTGAATGGTTGTCTGTTTGTTCTCGTTTCCCATGCTCTCTCCCTCCCTCCCTCCCTCCCTCCCCCCTTCCCCCCGATTCCCTCTCACTCACTTTATTCCCCTTGTTCTAAAGCCCTCCTCCCCTCCTCCCACCCCACCCCCAGTCCCATGTGGCTCTCCTTGTGTCTCTCCAATGCAGCACATCGTGTCTCCTCTCAAGTGTGTGTGTGTGTGCATGTTCCTGTGTTTCTACCCCTACGTCCTGTCCTTATCCTCACCAGGTGTGGTATGAGTGGGCAGTCACAGCACCTTCTATGTCGCCTGTCCACAACCCTAATGGCCGATCGTACTGGGTTGGATTGTAGCTTATGGCATAAACCCAGTCGTTGTAACTCTTCTTTGAGGATCACTAGGTTGATGCGCTTCCTCGAATAGTGGTCTTTATGAATTTCCCAATTCTTTCAAGAAATTAATGCGTTGTGATTCACACTCGAGCCTTTTGCTGAGGTGGAGTTCAGTTAAGTACGTTGGATTTGTTAGGGCTACAAACAACACTCAATTTGTGCTAAGGGCTATATATTTGCGTTCTGTGGATCACCGTACTATCTCAATCTTTTTGACGAGGACGCTTGTAGCGCGCTAAGAGACGCATGTGGCTGTTGCGCAGCAATTTGCAAAGCCAAGTCGCTTTTCTTGCGTCTGCTTGGCTGCGGGGCAGAGAAGACATCGAGGCTGATCCAGGCAAAAGGCGCCAAGCGCGTTCAACGTTCAAATTTCAAGAAATTGACCACACAGGATCCTCCAGAGCGAGCACCATACCGTATCGTCCTAAATCCCCTTCTTGAGATTTGTCGCGAAGCCTGTTGTCCATTGGTCGATACGCCACGCCAAGGGTTGCCTTGCCTTGCCATTCCAATTTCGTGGCCAGAGTTGGGATGCACGACTCGAGAAAGCTTGAGAGAAGCAGTCCTTGCTCCCCACAAAAAATACTGTGCGGTGAAGTGTGTTTCCTTGACGGTTCTGTGAGTCAGAGCGCGGTGCTCCAACTCCTCGAAGGATGTGATTCAAAGGCACAACAGCTGCTCCTCCCTCCTGTGTCTGATTTACGCCCTCGACTGAAGGAAGTCGAGAAAGAAGCAAACGCAACGAGGTGCGCGCTGAGTTGGGTTTAGCCGTCAACCATGTGCTCCATACTGTCTCCATACGGAGACGAACGCTGCATCCAAGTCCCCATATCCATGCTAGTTTAGTCAAGCATGTGAACGACATGAGACAGCAAATTCGAGTTAAGGATACGGCACATAGTCGCAAAGGGAAGGGGTGAGTGGGTGGGGGAGGGGAGAGGGCGGGTGTCGAGAACCTATGATGGTCGAGGTTAAAATTCTGCATATCAGAACGGACAGAATACCAGCACCACAGGTCAGCCACACTAGCAACACCCAGGAAAAACCGACTCCAGTGCTCTGAAAGCCACCTACCATATACAGATGAACACCCACTGGGTGGCACCTTCTGATTATTAGGCAATATCACCCACAGGCTACCATTCTCGCGGAGCTACCCGCCAGAAGTAGGAGGCTCTCACCGGCACCCCTTCTGACTATTCTTCTGGAATCGAATCCCCTGGGTCTAGCGTGCTGCTGCGCCAGCTGCGCCAGCAGTACCAGCCTGATCGCCTCCTTTGCCTCGGAGCACCTTCTCCTATGAAGCACCGCCTTTCCCTTTCGCTTTCTTCTCCCCAGCATCATCGGTGCGCTTGATATTCCTGATATTTTTTTATAATATGATTTCTCTGACATCATTATCGCCCTTGCCGCCTCGCCATTTCCCGACCAGCTTCGAAGGCTTCACACGCTCGTCGCCGCGCTTGCCCTTACCGCTTCTGCTCCCCTCCTCGCGATTATTGCTATCGCTTTGAGAAGCTTTCTTTGTCTTCGTCTCTTCCTCCGAGGAGTCGTCCTTCAGCCGCCCCACGCCGCTTGCCGTTTCGCGAGCACTCTGATTCTTGATCTCCGTCCCAATAGTCGAGTTCTTATTCATGGTAGTAGTAGGAAGAGGGGTATTCGACGCTTCGGTCGCGTTCTTACTAGTCGTCGTTGGCCGATTCGAACTCTTCGACGAGACAGCTGCGTGGGATGCCGAAGCGCCATCATCCGACAGTTCCGCGGCCGGCGTGGAATCCGAGTCCCCCGAATCCTCCGACTCCCCCGACTCCCCACTGTTCCCGTCCGCCATCGCCCGCAGGAGCACCAGCGAGCTGAAGTCCTCCGCCGAGCGCAGGTTCAGGTCCTCCGCGCCCGTCACTCTCCGCCGATGCGGGGGAAGCGCGCGCGGATCGTCCTTCGACCTCCGCCGCGCGGCTTCTTGCGCCTTCAGCACCGCGGCTCTGTGCAGGCGGACGAACGTGGGATGCGGCCGAAGCATCCCCGCGTGCCGCGCCTTAATCACGCAATCACTCCCGCCATCACGCAATTTCTCGCCGTCAGCGGCGGCGGCGGCGGCGGAGTCATCGGCACTAGAACCGGCGATGTTGCTCGTGATCATATTCTCTGATCGGACCGCGCAGGGGACCACATGATGCACGCGGATTCGCGGCGCTCTGGTGATGACGTCATCGTTAGATCCGTCAACGGTGAGCGATTGAGCTTGCTGCGGGATGACGGTGGCGAGCAGCAACGACGCGGCGACGACGAATCGTACGGCTGCTGCGGGCGATGGTGCGACAAAGTTACTCTGCCCGTCACGGTTACTACGAAAGATCAGTGTCAATATCATGCCGTCCGTTCTCTTGTGCCGTGTGACGAGGATTGCACGGAGAGGGTGTGACCCAGGTAGTTCGGAAGAAGGAACAGGGTAACAGCCTGTTACGCGCTCAGAACTCCAAGTTGGCGCACGACCAAAGAGACCAATCACACCGCCACGGATTCCGGCCTAGCCGCCTGGGTAACGACGGAGCTCTTAGTAAAACTAGGGTCCGGGAAAGGCAACGGACGAGATACTTTCACGGGAATGTCAATATTCATCGGCCCTCAAACTGGCGGGATTGCGAGTGAAGTTAAACCTCTGGCGTTCGGCGTTCTGTAGAAGCCTGAAGCTCTTGAAGATTCCACTTCATTTGGTGAGGGCGCTTCGCGACCCGACGCTTTCGCTAATCTGTCTTGACAACGAGGGCTCCCAGAAAGAGAACTAGGAGAGCTTATCGGAAGAAATTCGACTGCCATTTCACTGCCGATTGCTTGTGCGAGTGAGCAAGACGCCAGCTGAACAGCACGCGACGTGATTGCAGGTTTAGCTCCCCTCTTCTTTCCCAAGACTCCGGAACACGTCTTCCAAAACGTGAGATCTGTTTCGAATGGAGCTTGGATGGTCTGAGCATCACGCAGGGCCTGGAAAGCACCGTCGAGCCGCTTGACTAATTGACTACGCACTCATGCATTCAGGGAGGACAGGGTCTCAGGCAAAACGACTGGGGAACTAAGCTTTTGTGGGGGTCACACAGCGTTTCAATTTGGTTCTGAAAGGTTTTAAGCATTCTCGAAAAATTCAGTACGGTTCTCTGGTCTAAACTTCGGTTCCTGCTCCTCGTAGTCGTGCTCTAGGAGGGGAGTCTGGAAGGGGCCACAGTAACACAGTGGTAAAACCGAGAGGAACCGAACATTATGTAAACGAAAACCCTTACAAACCGAAGGAAAATCGCAGCCTGTCATAAAAAATGGAGACAAAAGGGCCCAGTGGGGGAGGGAAGAAAGTTGTCAAGGGCGAGAGTGAGGCACAGAGACCAAGTTGAGTTGCCGTTGGACAGTTGGCGTACTTGCTTGAATTCAGCGTGGCGAAAAGACAAATTTCGCGAACAAAAACATGCTTCATTCTCTCCCAACTCCCTCGCCAACCTCGCCAACACCCAACTATCTCTACGGATTCAGGGCTTTAAGATTCTATAGTCACTCTCCCCTATTGTATCCTGCGCTATACTCTTGAGTTATATTTCATAACATAAGGGATATTATAGGTGTTAGCGAATCTGCCTTACACTTGCAAGTAAGTATATGCCCTTATACACAAGACAAAAGATTGCAAAATATCTTATCACCCAACACCTAGAGCTCTAGGTGCTGCTTCATAAATTCCATTGTAAATATTGTCAACATATATTTGTATATGTTTATAGGCTAGATAGGTGTATGCTCCTAGGGAGTACAACACCATAGCACAAAACCTCCATGTATGCATCTTTCTAGTCATTGCCTTATTCTGAGATGGTCTCACGCCAGGTTAGGTCCCCCTCCCCGCTTACGCTTCCGCCCTTAGCCCTAGCCCTAGCCCTAGCCCTAGCCCTAGCCCTAGTCCTAGCTGCGCCCTAGCCCTAGCCCTACCCGTGCCGTGCCGCGCCCAAGCCGCGCCCACGCCCTGGCCCTAGCCGCACCCGAGCCGCGCCCGCACCGCCCCCGTCGTCCGCGTCGCCCGCGCCGTCCGCACCCGAGCCGGCCCCGCTAGTCCGCGCCGGCCCCGTCCCTTCGTGCCGGCCCCGTCACTCCGCGCCAGCCCCGTTACTCCGCGCCAGCCCCGTCGCTCCGCGCCGGCCCCGCTAGTCCGTGACGGCCCCGCCAGACCACGCCGGCCCCACCACTCCGTGCCGGTCTAACTAGACCGCGCCGGCCCCGACATTCCGCGCCGGCCCTACCACTTCGCGCCGGCCTCGCCACTTCGCGCCAACCCCGCCACTTCGCGCCAGCCCCTGTCGTCGCACCACGCCGCCGAGCTGCTGAGCCGCCGAGCCACCGCACCGTGCCGCTGAGCTGCCGAGCCGCCGTGCCGCCTAGTCGCGGTGCTGCCGAACCGCCGAGTCGCCGAGCCGCCGAGTCACCGAGCCGCCAAGCCGTTGCGCCGCCGTGTCGCCGAGCCGCCCCGACCCGCCCGCCATGGTCCCCTCCTCTGCGCCGGCGCTTCCGCCGCCCGTCTCCATCGCCGCTCTCCACCACTCCCCACCGCTCTCTCCTCCTCCTCTAGCGGCGGTCAGCTGCTGCAGCCGTAACGATGGCGGACGCTATGCTCCGCATGGACGCGGCGGGTCGAGCGATCGACTTTGAGGCGTGGCTTGCCAGCCTTCGTCGCTCGATGAGGGGACAACGCCAGGATGGCCAGTCTCTGGCCGTCCACACCGACGTTAAGATCCCCGGCCCCGACCTGCCTGCTGCCCTCTCTGATGCTCCCATGCCCGCTGAGCGTGAAGCCTTTGCAGCTGCTAAGCTCCCCCGCTCTGTCTAGGAGTCGCGTGACACAGTTGCGCAGCTTGCTATCAGTCGCGCCCTCCCCCTGTCCGAGCGCCCCCGCTACCAGGCCCTAGAGACAGCAAAGGACTACTTAGATGCCGTCATTACATGCTATTCCAATCCCTCCTCTGCCTTCTCCGGTCGTCTTCTTCTCCCCCTGCTCTTCCCTGACCTTGCGTCCTTTCCCACTGTCGCTGATCTCGCCACTCACCTGCGCGTGCTAGAGGCTAGCTACCGCGCTGCTAGCACTAAGGCTTAGCTCCTTGTACTGCCCCCCCCCCTCGGCGATACCCTCTACTTCCTTGCCACGCGCCTTCTTGACCGCCAGGCCACTGCCCGTGACCACTTCCTTGGCCTCCACCCCGCTGACCTCACCCTTGTCGACTTTGTCACTACCCTGACCGCGATGGAGACCCGCCAATGCACTATCGCTTACTCGAGCGGTACTGCAGCGGTCTCTATCTTCTAGGGTTCTGCTCCCTCCCAGTGCACTTACTAAGACGTCTCTGCTGCTGTTGCTGCTGAGACCGCTGTGGCGGCCTCAGCGCAGTCTTGTCAGGGTAGGGGACGCCGGGCCCGGGGGGGGCGTGGCAGCGGGAGGGGTGGCAAGGGTGGCGAGGGTGGCGAGGGTGGTGGGGGTGGCAGATGTGGCAGAGGTAGTGGAGGGGACAGTGGTGCAGACGAGGGGACCGGGGCTGGTGCCCCGGCGCAGCAGCAGCCCCAGCAGCAGCAGCAGCAGCCATGGGGACCCCCGCCGCTGTGGTGGCCTAGAGGCTCTGGTGGTGGTGGTCGTGGTGGTCGGCCGCGCAGCTCGGTGTCGGGTGGCGGCTCTAGTGTGGTGACCTACCAGTACCAGCTTCAATCCGGCTCCTGCCGCGGCACCGTCTGCGACCGTCCCGGTCACATCGCCGCTCGCTGCTACCGCCGCCTCGACGAACTCTTCCGTCTCCGGTTCGGCCCTGTGTCGCCCCCCCCGACTGGCACGGCCTGGTACGTCGCCGTGTGCCAATCTTTGAGATGGATATGGATCGGATTTGCTCTGCCTGATATGTCATATATGCTGATGACTCTAACGTGACTGGACCTAATTACCCCGTGTTGCGTATCGTAGGTGTTCCACAGTGTATAGTCTAGGCTCCCCTGCTCCGTCAGGCGTAGGACCTCGTGCTTTGTTTAGCCTAGGCTCCACCCTAGTCCCTCCGCCGGTTAACGCTACTGCCGCACTCTCCTTCACGCTTGACTCTGGCTCGTCCCACTGCTTCTTTCGTGACCAGACTGCGCTCACACCGCTTGTTGCCCCTGCAGTTTTCGCTCTTGCTGACTCCGCTTCCGGTCCGGTAGTTGCACGTAGCTCCACCACCCTTCCCTGTCTGACGGCTCCCTTGGGTTTGCTTACAGGTGTGCACCTCCCCTCGTTCTCCAGGAAACTAGTGAGTATCAGCCATCTTCAGGACATCAGCGTCACCACTACGTTTCCTGTACTACTCCTCTAGACACAAGCGGTACGCAGCCTGTACTGAGGCTGCCACTGGTGCCCCTCTCATCACATTCCCTCGGGACCTGGTGTCTAGCCCGTTTATGCTTGACATCGCGTCCCCCCTGGTGAGGGCGTCTCCCCAGGTGGCCGCACCCTCCCAGGTCGCTGCGGCTTGCTCGTGTCGGTCGCTCACTCACCCGACTCTTCTGTGGCACCACCACCGAGGTCACCCCGCACTCCAACACCTGCGTCACATGTCCCAGCACTGTCACAGGATCGAATGTGTCGAGGAAAAGTTGCACTATCAATTGATACAAGGCGCTTTTATAGTTCCAAAGTACATCAGGTAACCAGGTTTATCCTATCCAAAGGGAATAGACCCTTCTAGAAATAGAATCTCCCTGCGTATAGCCATGCGAGGCTATTGGCTTTAAGGGATTACGACAGGTTTACGCTAGATAGAGCGCGCGAGTACATCTCGAGCCTGGTCGGTGATATAATCATAATAACATGACAAACCAAAGGATAATGGAAAATGGAATAGGAAACCAAATGAGATGAGAGAAAAAGAGGAATGCGATAGAAAGGAAATATGGAAAATGGGAATTGGTATAACGGGGTCGTTCTCTCACACTTCCCCCCCTCAAAGCTGGGTGGTAGAAGTAACACCCTGCTTGATAAGGTAGTCGCGAAGAGGACGACGGGCGTTACCCATCTCGGATTCAGGAACCCAAGAGTCCTCAGAAGGATCATAACCCTTCCAACAGATGAGAAACTCCACGGTGCCATTCCGTCGACGGTGGTGTGCAAACACGGACTCGACCTCGTACTCGGGTTCATCGTGGATGAGGACGGGCGGCGGCGGCGGCGGTTGGCGTCCGGTGAAGACCGTGTTAGGGTCGCGATAGGGCTTCAGAAGTTGGACATGGAAGGCGTTGTGAATCTTCCAGGTAGTTGGTAGGCGTAAGCGGAAGGTAGCAGGAGTAACCTGTGCTTCAACGAGAAAGGGCCCGCAGAAGCGAGGTCGCAGTTTGGATGGGAGATGACTGATGTTGATATTGCGGGTGTCAAGTAGGACTTGGTCTCCCACGGTGATGGTGTGGTCAGTGCGGTGGCAATCGGCCTGCCGCTTCTGTTGCTGCTGAATGTCGAGAAGGCGCTTGTGGGTCCGATCCCAAAACAGATGCATGGTTGTGATGAAGTCGTGTGCGGGTTGAACTGTAGCTGATCTTGTCGGTTTTTGTGGCATGAGCGGGTGGCGTCCGTAGCAGAGGAAGAACGTTGTCTGTCCAGTAGCGGCGTGAGTGGCATTGTTGTAGGCAAACTCCAGGACGGGCAGATGCAAGTCCCATTTAGAGATTTCGTCCTTGCATGCTGCGCGGAGGAGTTGCTCCACAATTTGGTTGAGGCGCTCGGTCTGTCCATCTGTCTGCGGATGGTAGGCGGATGACATGGCGAGTTTGGTCCCGAGCAGAGACATTAGTTCCTTCCAGAACTTGCTGGTGAACTTGGGGTCTCGGTCGGAGATGAGTGTTGTGGGAATGCCATGTTGTGAGATGATGTAGCGAATGAATAGTTGTGCTGTCTCTTCGGTGCGTGCTGTCGTGTGTGTCGGGAT